GGAACACGGATAGTTGGCAGCCTGAAAAATAAACCTCACAAACGAATGTTATGCGCACTTGGCTTCTGCTCATCAAAACAGAGGAGGATAGCCCAAGACCTTCTTCTTTTAGACTTTCCACCGAAAACGCGTGGTCATTAGCTTAACCTCACGAAACAGCCCCACAGACTAAATGTACGAGCCTAACTCTATATTAGCTTGGTAGTAAATAGAGAAAATAACCTACCAACACAATTGGTCAACTTACGAATGTACAAGGTTCAGACTCAAGATGTTTTGAGGTGTACCTCGAATAATTATCATTATTGTATTCATAATTCCCTGAATAAGCGGTTCCTTTGTTTCCCTGAAGGAGTGTGTTTCTCAGATCGGGTTTGAACATTTTACACAGAACCGTGTGTCGAAAAAATATCTTACAGACAACCCCCCCCCCCCCCCCNGGTCGGAAATTAGGGATTTAAGAAAACTGCGGAGGTGGTTACTAAGAGGATCTTCAGAAGACTGTCATCACCGACATAGCTCTGTATGAGAATGAGAGCTTTCATTCTCATTGCTCCCAGAAGCGATTGCCCAAATCACCAAGTGAATTATACACTATCGAGGTAATAATGATACTTAATTCACCGCACGACATTAGTACCGTAAAAGTTTACTTATTTTATCAAACAAATAATAATGTTATCCCAGATGGCACTTGGTCGGCTATTAGCACGCTAATAGCAGGCTACGTTTGAGCTACAAACGAGCTAAGGTACCAAAATTGTAGCGCATTTTTAGCCCATTCGTCGGCTGATAGCACACCGATAGTCAGATACAATGAGCTACATTGAAAAGCATCCCGTTTCTAGTTTTCCGCTTTGTCCCATTTCTATACCCCTAATAAAGGTATGTTTTCAAAAAGATTTGCTATCTTGCCGTGGACTTCAGAACATTTTTGCGCACTAATAAGAGCACATTTATTCACGGAATAAAGACACCATAAAAAAGATTTATTAGATCAAATTATGAAACTAGTTTTAGTTTAAAGACGTTTTTAAACTAAAAGGAATTATGATAAAGGTATTTTTAAATGAATTTACATTACATACATTAATGTATTTTTTATAAAAGCATGCAATTCAAAGGTTAATTACTGTTTGTTAACAACTGTTATTGATATCAGCTACCTATGTAGCTGATACGTAGCTCTCTGTAGCCGCTCGATGCGCTACGTTGTGCTACTTCAGCATGCTGAAGTATCAGCACTTACGGAAAATTCGGCAATAATAAACAAAAAACATGATGGTAACCGACAGAAAACATAATGTGCTTATCCCTTACTCCTAATCTTTCAAAATCACTTCCAAATGCGTTTCGTGGACCTCCTCCCAGTGGGTTTAAATGACTTATCGACTTTACATAAGTACTCGGATTGCAAGGATCAGGTATAATTTGTGCATTGGGGATATATTGGATAAAACTTTCAAAGCTGTCCACTGATATGTTTTGCATTATAAGAATTAAAACGGGAATCCATATCATGTTCATTCCAATTAGCTTTTTATGTGATAACTGAAAAATAGTTTAAATGTTTCAGTCATTGAAGGTCAGTCAGTCAGTTTGCAGAGAACAGGAGATGACCACAGCCAATCGAGCGTCCAGAGTTCCTTCGGTAGTAAGCCACGTGTTGGTCCCTACCACTGCGAGTGTTTTATATTGTAGTTATGCGCTTTTCCTTCTCGTACCAATCATCTCCGCCTCTGCAAGGGAAGAGAAAGGAAGAAAATATCTTCTCCCTTTGTTCAGGCGAGAGACCTCATATTTAGAAGCGCTAACTATTTGAGGTGGTTAGTAAATGAGAAAACCTATAATTTCTAGCGGACCGTAAACTATGCATCTACTTCAGGAAATAAGTTCAACCAGCGTTTATCAAGCTCCTTCTTGAAAGCATGTGCGCTCCCCAGCTCCACCAGCTCCTGTGATAACTTATTCCATGAGTTGACTATCCTGTTGTTCAAGAAAACTGAACGCACCGCTAGTCTCGTGCGTACTTTCTTCAACTTGTGCATGTGCCCCCTAGTATTGCTTTTTCTCCTCTCAAAGAACACTGCTTGATCCGTCCCTGATAGGCCATTCATAAATTTGAATGTCTCTATCAAGCCACCTCTGGGTCTTCTTCTCTCCAAGGAGAAGAGCCCAAGGTCCTGCAGTCTCTGCTTATATGACTTCCCTCGCTGTCCTTCGATCATCCTCGGGGCTAATCGTTGGACCCCCTCGAGACAAGCGGCGTCTTTTTTGAAGAAGGGAGCCCAGACTTGTATAGAATACTCCAAATGCGGTCAAACAATGGCCTTGTATAGAGGTACAAATACCTCCGGTTTCCTGCATGTTAGTGCCAACCTCAATCTAAAAATCTCTCGACGGGCATGGTGAGTCGCTGCGGGACACTGTTCTGCCCAGTTGTAGTCTGCTGTCACTATGATTCCTGAATATTTAGCTTTCTGGGTCGTTCCTAGTGAAAGACCGCCATAACTACTCCCCACTATCAGCTCCTCATCTCCAATGGTTAAGACATGGCTCTTTCCTATGTTGAGAGGCAGATCCCATGTGCTTGACCACTTAAGCACTTCTACTATGTCCCTCCCTAATTCCTCCCTCCCATTTGATCCCACAACCTTGACGTCATCCGCGAAAATATAGCTAGACAAGCCTAGGCGTTCATACAGATGATTGATGTAGAGCAAGAATAGGAGTGGGCCTAGAACTGCTCCCTGAGGAACACCACTGGCAATATTTTCCATTGGCGATTTCGCTTCTCCGACCCGAACCGCGAAGGTCCTATCGGCCAGGAAAGCTGTTAGCCACTTGTGGATGTTACCCCTTATCCCTAAAGCATGTACCTTGACCAAAAGTAAGCGATGACATACTAAGTCAAATGCTTTGTTAAAGTCCAGTTAGCATGCATCCACTTGCTTACTCTCGTCTAATCTCGCTGTGACTTCATCTAAAAGGTGCAATAGATTGCTCAGACAGGATTTTCCCTTCAGAAACCCATGCTGTTCCGCAATCAGCAAACGGTGCCGAGTGAGCTATTTGCATAAGTGGGTTCTGATAATTCTCTCAAGCGCTTTGCGTAAGATGCTTGTGAGACTAACTGGACGGTATTTTTCTACCTTGTGTCTCGGACCTCCCCTATTTATGGCGACCACAATTGCTTTTTTCCAGTCCTGTGGTATCTTGCCCTGTTCTGGAGTTTTGTTGAATAGGCGGCATAGTGGACCCCCTAGAACCTCAGCTATGTGTTTAACTAAGGCTGGGTGGATGCCATCTGGTCCTGTGGATTTGGTGGCGTTAAGTTCACCAAGAGTCCTGCACACCTGCTCCAGCCCCACGTGTAATTCGGGATTTCCGGTCCATTGGTGCGGAGGTCAGGTTGTGCAGTGACGATTTGATCTATCCTGTGTACGCTTCTGAAGTATTGCTTAAATCGCACTGCTATATCCATCTCTCGGGCTACTACTTCTCCATCGTCCTATATAAGTGGCCCTACCTTTTCACCGTGCCCTCCCTTAGATTGGACATGACGAATATACGTCTTTGGCTGGTATTAGGCACGATTTGCAAACTTGAGCTCATATTGCCGTTTGAGCTCGCGCTGAATTGCCACTGCTTTGTTTCTAGCCCTGGTGTACTGCACCCAGGATCGGTGGCTGCCCCTTGATCTATAAGTGCGCCAGCTCCTATTTCTACGCTGTATCGCTCTTCTAATCGCTGGGTTCCACCAAGTTGGTTTGTTCTTCGCTGCCCTGGGTGTTAGAGGTGCGAATTTATCCTGCAGGAGCAAGATATTTGCCTTGATCCGGCCATAATTTTGGTCTACTGAGTCGTTTTCGTGGATAGGGGCCCACACCAGCTCCGCAGCTCGGGCCTTCAAATTTGTCGCATCTATCGTCCAGTAGTTCCTGGACATCCTGACATTACTCCTACGATGCATGGGACTTATTGCTGTGGTTAGAACGACGTGGTCGCTTTTACCCAGCGGTGGATGGAGGGTGATGTTTGTCACACCCCTCTCCCTCGTTGTAATTAGTAGGTCCAGTAGAGGTGGCCTATCTCCATCTCTGTACCTCGTGCACTCCCGGACATGTTGCTGTAGGGTCCGGGAGTGCATCCATTCTAAGAATGCACTCTCCGTTGTTTCAATTGGTGCCTACTCGACCTCCCAATCGATTTTTGGGAAATCGAAATCCCCCAATATACAAACTCTTTGTGAGCGTCTATATAAGCATAGGAGTGCCTGGTCCTCCTCAGGTGTGCATTCCGGGCTTCTGTAGACTCCTGACATGCTAACCCTCCCCGAAGGTAGAACCAACGAAATGGAGCACACCTGAAAATTTCGGGTGCACTACGCTATTTCTTCTTCGTGATGGGGTATATCCCGTTTGATTAGGACCGCTACAGCATTGTTGTGATTCGTACTCGGACTAGTATCTCGTATACGTGGCGGATTCTGCACACTAATAGACCGACTCAGAACTAGAACTCGAAACGAAATCAGAAGTCAACTCAGAGGCAGAATGAAATTGTAATAGGCGGAAATTAGAAATATACAAGGATATCGTGTTCAGTAAAACAAGAGTTCACAGTTCATAAGCAATCACCACATCCGTCGCAGCTTGAATGAAGCTCCGGTTTTCTGTAATCACGGCGGGCTTTGTTGAGTAATCGTTAAGACCTTCTGGGTTCTTCTGTATTGTTTGCGACATTTGTACTAGGATGTACTTCCTCTGGAAAGGACTCAGAAATAAAAGAATAAGTAGGTTCACGACTAGTATCAGGATTGGGCAAATTACAAATTACTTGGTATACATGTCTGCGATGTACCATCATCTAGATCCTATATGCGACATACTCTTTGTCCCATATTGTCCAGTACAATGCCCCTAGAGGGTCGTAAATCGTTACCACGATGATACACGACTTCCGCGGACTCCAAGCGTAGAATATTTGTTCGAAGTGCTCTACTTTTGAACAGCTTCGCTGGACTGTCCCGTAGTTGAATGTACTGCTTTACGGTATTGCATCAGAAAGTCATCAACGCCTCTGTCCAGTTCGTCGAATGTACTGGGATTCAAAGAAGCAATGGCACTCTTCAGCGTGCGTACAAAGTTTTCGGCTGCGCCATTGGATTGCGGATGTCGGGGTTGAGTGAGAACATGCCGACAACTCACGGAGTTCAACCAATCAGTAACTTTCTTGACAGTGAAATGGCTTCCATTGTCAGTCACGATAGCATGCGGGACATCTTCTCTACTGAACGTTTTCCTGAGTGCTCGAATAGTAAATTCTGAACTGGGAGTTGTGGTAAAGTACACTTCTGGCCAACGGGAATAGGAATCGACGATCACCAATGCGTAATACTTGTTAAAGAATGGACCACAGTAATCCACATGTATTATTTGCCATGACTCGGATGATACTGACCACGTAGTCCATTTCGAAGGCTGTCTGTGAGTTTTGTGCACACATTCAGCACAGGATTTAGCAACACGATTCAGATCATGATTCAATTCAGGCCACCAGCATGTGAGACGAGCAAGAGATTTCATCTTTTCAATGCCGAGATGACCGGAATGTAAGTCATTGAGAACAGCAGTACGTAATGTCGGAGGTA